TGAATTCACCCAGTAACATTTATTTTTATTATTATATAATAGTGAACACAATTTAAAAACTTTATGGAATTAATCAATATTTTAATTAAGATGCTCAGTAAAAGCTAAACCTCACAAAGAGAAAAAAATAAATTTTGAGAGAATATAAAATTCAGATTTATAAAATATAGTAGTCGGTAAATAAATAATGTTAATGGAAAATTTTTTGTCGGTTAAAGCATTTATTCAGTATACCAGTATTTACTGAGTAAAAAAAAAAAGTTATTAATTAAATATACTTTAACGAGAAAGCAAATTTTTTTTAATGTACATTAGTCCATTTCGTTATGTGCTAATTATAATTACTCAAGAGCAGAAATTTATGACGGTTTTAATTATTGTATTAATTCATTACAACCCGTTAATCAAAATTTTTTATTACTGGTCTTGTAATTATATTAAAACTTCTTCAAATATAGTTATATTAAGTACTAATTGACAGCAAAAAAATTTTCTTTCTCATTTATGATTTAGAACGTATTTTTATCCATTATTTTTGTGAGTATAGATAAAAGTTATTCGATCGAAACAGAAATATAATGACGTCATTTCGTGAAATCGAGAAAACGTGAAAATAATATATCGGGTTTATTGTCGCATAGGAACTACAAAAAAAAAAAAGATGCATGTACGGCTTCAACTTTTAAACGTGCACAAAAATGATGAAATAGTCATAAAAGTAGGGCATCCTATTCTCAGTATTATATTAGTACTGGAAAAGTTACCAAATTTTACTGCGGATATTATAATTGTTAAAATTTCTCATACAAAGTCGAGCAGGATGTCATTAATTTAAAAGTATGAAAATTTGAACGCACGAAAAAAGTTCCCGTGGAAAAATTCTCTGATGTAGCTTTATTGTCAGATCAGAAAATTTGATAGTCTCTTATATAGCCTAAAATGGTGTATAGTACGTCCACACGGAAAAAATTAAACTGTAATAAATAACAGTCGATTTATAATAAGTAATGATCAACTGCTAAAAATTACCATTTCAAACAGTAAAATCGTTATTTTACTATTCACTTTATAATATTTACCATTTAAACGTTACAATTTACTCTTTATACGGAAGAAAATACTATTTCAAACAGTAATATTCGCTATGTGAATGTCTAAAATGTTAAAGTATAATAATTAAGAATTCAGACTTTGATATTTATCATTTCGTACCTAAAAAATGATCTTATGATATGTAAAAAGTATAAAATAAAGTTAGTAAATTTCTAACACAAGCAACGTCAAATTTACAAAGTAAAATGCTTGGACTGGTAAAATGTATATTTTAAAAGTATAATTTTTACTGTTTCAAATGTTAAATTCTCCCATAGTGAGACCCCCTTCTCTTTCATCTGAGTTCCCTTTCTCCTCATAATATGGACTATATATTGAAATGGCAATTTTTACTGTTTGAAACTGTAATTTTTAAAGATGAAAGAGTCGTTATTTACTATAGTGACAGCTACTTATCACTTATTTTGGATATTAAATTATAAATTGTGGCTTTTATACTTTCTACATTAAGTTCTGTAATATTTATAATTTTTGCTACCCCGATGTCCGCTTTATTGTTTGAAACTATAAAAATTAACCGGAATCCGAGTGAATATTACAGTTTACTTTTTTCCATGTATGTAGAGATATCAGGACGTATCTAAAGGTAGTTTTGAATATCTTCGGCGGAAGGCTAAATACGGCAATATCAAACAATTTTTCACGGGTTCGTTTGAAATTGTGATTTTGTGCATCATGAATCCTTTAAGCAAATGTGTTGTGTAATAAAAGTTTCATGAATAATTGTATACGTTGTTAGAGACGGTTAGTTTTCAAGCTTAAATAAAAAAAAAATATTGGGAATTCGCAATACAATGTTAAATAAAAACAAATGTATTCCAATTTTTTCTTACTACCGTCAGATCTGCGATAAAATACGAGATTATAAGGTTCAAGAATTTATAACGACACAATTTAAAATAAATTCTTGCTGTAATTCCCGTTAAACATTAACAAGTTCTCTTTATATACTGTATCTTTGCAAAGCTTTTGTGCACTGAACACCGTATTTGAATAAAATATTTTTATGCGACAGTTCAAAAAAAAATTATAACAGAAATTTCATAAACATATATGCAAGGACTCTCTAATCCGCTTATTCTATCGAATTTTATAAGTGCTCCATATACATCCCTGTTATTAGCATATCTTTACCAAGACCCTTGATTATTATATTTTTAGTCGTACAAGAAACATTTAAACTGGGATGCAAAATAGTCTGGGAAACTTATGCGCAGTAACAGAGAATGGTGAAAATATATAAAAAAAAATAAAAGTAAAAAGTACATGGAAAGTTCTTTTAAGGCAACTAAAAAGATTGGCGGTATGACGACCGCGTCACATTTTATACCCTAGAGAATAGAGAGGGCGAGTGAATCAAAAACAATTGCCTCAAGAGAGTGATGGTGACAGAATTTTAAACGAGCTACGTTTAGTTATCCTTGGATATGACACTATTATCTTTATCTCACGTTCTATACTTCTGACAAATTATCTCCATAACAAAACTCTAAGATGTGTTTTTTTTCGTATAATACCGTATAATTGTATTCACACCTATTAAGTAATAGCCATTTTAATACTTGAATTTTAGTACACGGGAAAAATAACATTTTGTTTAATATTAAGGGACACTTGTAACATCTATAAATGTAAATTTCGAATAATATTTTTGTAACATACAACTCAGTTACCCTTACAATTTTAAAGACACTTTTACAGAATATATTAAAATTCATATTCGAAATTGGAATTATTCAACTATTTCTTTTTCACGTTCCGCTATGAAAATCAATACATGGAAAAAAGTAAACTGTAATATTCATTCGAATTCCGGTTAATTTTTATAGTTTCAAACAGTAAAGCGAACATCGGGATAGCAAAAATTATAAATATTACAGAACTTAATGTAGAAAGTATAAAAGTCACAATTTATAATTTAATATCCAAAATAAGTGATTAGTAGCTGTCACTATAGTAAATAATGACTCTTTCATCTTAAAAAATTACAGTTTCAAACAGTAAAAATTGCCATTTCAATATATAGTCCATATTATGAGGAGAAAGGGAACTCAGATGAAAGAGAAGGGGCTCTCACTCTGGGAGAATTTAACATTTGAAACAGTAAACATTATACTTTTAAAATATACATTTTACCAGTCCAAGCAAGTCAATAATTACAGTTCGATTTTTAACGTTGCGTTTAAAATTTACCATTTTACTTTGTAAATATTGACGTTGCTTGTATTAGAAATTTACTAACTTTATTTTATACTTTTTACTATATCATAAGATCTTTTTTAGGTACGAAATAATAAATATCAAAGTCTGAATTCTTAAGTATTATACTTTAACAT